TTTTTCCAGCACCATATATTAAACAAACATTCTCTTCCCTGTTTAATGGATTTTGGCCCTTTGCAAAGATCAGCTGACCATAGTCGATGGAGCTATTTCTGGGTTCTCAGTTCTCTTCCATTGGTCTATGTGTCCGTCATTGTACCAATACCATGTAGTTTGGACTAGATTCAGGATAAATTTGGCAAGAGCATCTGAGAAGTAAGACTATTTATAGTCTTCTCATTGCATCCTATCAGAAGGCACATAATTTCAGTTTTCTGCCTTACTGGTTATGTGTTATTTGATCACTTTGGCCAGTTTCTACACTGTAAAGTTATTTATTACAAAGGGAAAAAGAGTAGTAGTTTATGGGAAGGTACTTTGAGACAATGTAAATAAACTGATCAACTTTCAGTTTATATCATTATGAAGTCAAGGTTTCCTATTTTGATTGGTTATTATTTGTTATAATCATTATTTATTTTGATGATCAAATTGTTCCACAGTTGGCCAGTGGGAGTCCCTTCTACCATGCTGACACGTCTTTCTGATGTGTCACCATCATTCTTTGAGCACTCCAAGGTTTCCACTCAGCTTATACTTTTTCCTTGCCCTGGCTCTGGAGCCAACTGTTTTTGCAAAGCACCCAGATCTTTTAGTGGAGAATAATTTTTAGAAGCTTGTCTACCACCTGAGATTGGTCTCTTAACTAACACCTTGTGCCAAGCTGCTCCTTCCTTGAATGACCTCCTTACCTGCTGAGACTGACTCTCTACCAGCTTTTCCCACCCCACAGACCTCCCCTTCACCCTGTTTGAACTGTCTTCACCAACCACCTGTACCATGTGGACCCCTCTGACTTTCTTGGACTCTGATGCACCTTGCAGGCTACCTTCTTCTGGATGCCCTTTGCACTCTTCTGATGCTTTTCAGGCTCTGATTTCTAGCACTGGGCCACCTTACACATAGAAAACTTCCCTTACTTTACTTGGTCTCAGAGTCCCCTTGCCAGACAGCCCTACTACGTAGGTGGTTTCCTCACCCTGCCCAGGCTCTGGTGCTCCAAACCAGGATGCCTTCCCATGTGACTGGCTCTTTTTATCCCACTCTGAGCAACCACAGCTCCCCTCCTCACCCATACATAAGCCTGTTGTATGCTTAGGAACAGAATTGTTAAGGAAGAGAAGGAAGAAGAGAAACGTGAATGGTTTTTAATATTGCTTTTACAGCGTCTTTTAAAAATTAGGAAATATCCTTTTCTTTAGCAAAGAAAATCATATCCAGATGTTCTCTCTTTTTGGGATTTATTTTTTTCTTTGCATTTCTCATCAGGGAAATTTAAGCAGCTTTAAGTTCTTTGACTCTTGACTTATTACAAATTTAGGATCTGTGTATCTAGAGAAAGTAGAATCTATATTTTTATTGGACTGTATTACTTTGTTGTTCTATATCAGCTTATTTTACGGTTCATATAATGCCTGTGTACAATTGAGGATTCTCATTTTGGATTGTTTTATAGAGAGCCCAAGCAGCATTGCAGGCCGTCAGTGCTGCCCATTCAGGAAGCCTGGCCCTTTCTGGAGCGCCTACCAATGAAGGCACAGTACTGCCTGGGCAGAGCCCTGTGCTACGAATAATTATTGAGAACCTCTTTTACCCTGTTACTCTGGAAGTTCTTCACCAGGTAAGGAAGGACTCTCTCATGGAAACAGTCAAATGTAACCTCTGTAACTCTTTGTATTTTGTATCTAATAAGTTTTCTAGGTTGTTGCTTTTGGTTTATGTATTTGTTTAATTAATTAAATTTTTTTTTAACCATCCTGTTTTATGTAGGAAATGGTGTCAAGTGGGAGAGAATTCTTTGTTTCTAACATGATGAATGGTGTGTGAGAAGGTCAGTTTTTTAATAACTAAGAAAGGAAATGAACAAAGCAGAGAAAACTTAGGCCAGTCCCTGGTAGTGGTTGTTCCTGAGGAAGAAAATCCCTATGGAAGACAACTAATTCATTTCTACTGACTCTTCCTTATATTTGCGTATGACATTATCTATTTTTGTTTAAAAAACCCTGAAAGGAAGGTATACAATAAGTCTTCATATGGAAAGTGCAAGTACCATGTTCAGTATTGACTGATGTCAACATAGCCATCATGAACTATCCATTAATGTCTAAACTATCTTGAAAAAGGCATTCTACCATATCATGGCAAGTGGTATGTAGAAATTAAGAACTGGAAGGTCATCTGGTTATGTAATTTTTAGTGGATAAAAGTGAGGCTTGGGTAATAAATATTAATATTGAAGAGAATAAGTAAAGAGCCAATTAGAACTGAAGTTTCCAGGTGTGTAGTCTAGCATTTTGTTTGATATGCTTGTTATTATTTTTAACTAATATTCCATATTAAGATAAATACATATCCTTAAAAGAAAAAGTACGGTTGTTTGGTAATCTTAAATCCCTAAATATTTGACATCTAGCCCAACAACTTTAGTCAGTTTTAATCCCCTTCAGTTATATATTGATTCCATTTCATTTTACGTGCCAACCTATATATTTAAAATACTAAAGTGAAAAAAAAAACAAACTCGGTGCCGTTGAGTCAGTTCTGACACATAGTGACCCCCATTGGGTTTCCAAGGCTGGAAATCTTTGCAGAACTAGATTGCCTCATCTTTCTTCTATGGAGCAGCTGGTGGGTTTGAACTGCTGACCTTCTGGTTAACAGCCAAATGCCTTACCCACTACTCTACCAGAGCTCCTTATTACAATACTAAAACACTAAAATATATTTCCTGCTTATTTTCCTATTTATGTCACAATATGTATTGTGCAGCACGATATCAGGCCAAGAATCACTTAAATGTGTTTCATACCTTTGTTATGAAGAATCATAGAAATGTGTGCACGTGTGTGTGTGTTCAAGGAGAGGAATGCATCTTTTCCTATTCTCACATTTTACAAGTACAGAAACTGGGGACCTTAGAAGTTCAGTGATTATACCAGTTGGTGATAGAGCTCAGACTAGAACCCACATTTCCCAGTATGGTTCTGTAGCATGCATGCAAATATTAAAATATATCATTTATGGCACTCTGGTGGTGCAGTAGATAAGGCATTTGGGTGCGAACCAGAAGGTCAGTGATTAAAACCCACCAGCTGCTCTGTGGGAGGAAGATGAGGCAATCTACTTCCATAAAGATTTACAGCCTTAGATACTCTATGGGGGTTGCTGTGAGTGAGATAACGGTGTCATCCAGAGCCATTGTTGCTCCCCAGAAGGATTCAGCAGTTGGTTAATCATTGCCTTCGTTGTTCTGGTGGATTTTCTTCCCTTCTGCTCTTCCCACAAAGTAGCCCTGAACACTCTGTGATTCATCGATTTTGTTTGTTAGCGTTTGCCCACCACGATATTGCAGCTACTACTAACATAAACTCCTTAATAAAAGATGTCTTTCTTTGTGTCTGTGGTTCAGCACTACTTTCAGTTAGTAGTGAGCTTAGCTAGAGTCATGTGTTCCTGCCCTATCATTCCATTTATTATTTCTTTTGAGAGGAGTAACAAATTTTGTTTCTCCCCAATAAAGCAATCATGCATCCATCAGATGAAGAGTAATTCTGAGAGACCAATAACAGCTATTGAGGTATTCAGTTACAGCAATCCCTTATTAAACCTTCATTCCCATTGCTATTGGAATAAAATCAAACTCCTTATTAAGGCCTTAACATGCAGACTCCCCTACCCCATCATTTCCTAACTAGAAATACTAACCTCATTTCCTTACTGGTAATACTAACCTTCTGGTTCTTAAGTCGTATCATTTAGTTTACTACAAAAACTGTTGTAAACAAGTTGTGGCCAATGTCCTTGCTATTAAAAAATGTTCTACTATGAATGCATTTTTTATAATTGATTACCTGTAAGCAGTTTCAGTTTTGGTCAAGTTCTACCTTAATAAAAATCACATACGATATCTACATAAGTATTTGTATGTGCTGTGAGAATGTCCATATAAATAGAACAGTAGGGCAAAGTTATAATTACTTCTTAGCCACAGTCAGCCACCTTAACAGGGTGAGGTTGTTGGACCTGTGGGCTTGGGACCATGGTCACGGGGGACATCAAGCTTAATTGGTATAACATACTACACAAAAACATTGTTCTACGTTTGGCTTTGGTGCATAGTGACTGGGGTCTTAAAAGCTTGCAGGCAGCCATCTAGATGAAACAATTGGTCTCTTCTCATCTGGAGCAAAGAGGAATGAAGAAAACCAAAGACACATGGAAACAATTAGTCTAAGAGAGTAGTGGACCATGAGAACCTCAGCCTATATGACTGTGAGATCAGAAGAACTAGATGGTGCCCAGCTGCCACTGTCAACCACTCGGATAGGGACCACTGCAGGAGATCCTGGATAGAGTGGGAGAACAATGTGGAACAAAACTCAAAATCATAAAAAAGACCAGACTTACTGCTCTGATAGATCCTAGGGATACCCCCAAGACTATGGCCCCTAGTTACCCTTCAGGCCTGGAATTGAACTTGCTTCTGTGGCTTCCAGCCAAAATATAGACAGGCATATAGAATGAACATTTACACCAGGTAGATAATACTGCTTAGGACAGTCAATCATGGGCGAACAGAAGGGCAGTATTTGCACAAGGAGATAGTGCAGGGAGCAGGAATGCATAGAGAAGAAGGACACGGGGGAAGTGGGAAGAAGAAGTGGGAAGAGAGCTGTTAACATTGTGGGATTATAGTTGGTGTCATGAAACAAATGTGTATAAACTGCTGTTTGGAAAATGAATTTGCTCTGTAAACTTTCACCCAAATCACAATAAAAATTACAAAAAAAATATAGAATATTAAAAAATACATAGAACAGGAAAAACAGATACAGATACAAAATAATAGGGTAAATTTAAATTTTAATGACTGAGTTAAATGATATTGTTGTTGTTATGTGCTGTCAAGTTGGACCCGACTCATAGCGACCCCTCCTTGGGTTGCCGAGGCAGTATCACTATGGAAGTAGATTGCCCCATTTTCCTTCTGAGGAGTGGCTGGTGGGTTTGAACTGCCAGCCTTCTAGTTAGCAGTCAAGTGCCTTAGGCACTATGCTACCAGAGTTCCCAGATTTTTAAATGAAACTTAAAAAATACATGCAGTTACATGCTGCTAATGAGAGAACCATCTAAAACAAGAATATAAAAACCATGAATGTAAAGAATTGAAACCTGTATGTCAAGAAATTATAATGGAATGAAAGCTGATGTGACTGTATCATAAAATAAAGATTAACATAAAATAAAGATTTTTAGACAAAATCACCTTGAAAATTAATTTTGCAAGAATTTGATCATTAGTATCTTTTTTCAGTTCTATTTTATAGTCTAAAAAGTTTATAATATGTACAAAAAGGGCAAGGAGGCCATACGTTCTGACCTCCTCTAATCCCACAAGAGAAAGACAGGATTACCAGCAGTAACCGAAGGCCTATTCCGGCCAGGCCAGACATGCTACCTCCCTCCAGCCCTTTCTCTAACCGTTCCTCCCAGAGCACCCACCACCTCTCTTCTGGGTTCGATAATTCGCTGCAGTGGCCACACAGAACTCACAGATTATGAGGTTTATTAGGAAAGCACCAGGCTACAATTCAAGTTCAGGAAAAATGCTCAGTCTCTCTCCCAGCCAAGTCTCTCACAGTCTCTCCCCCAGCAGTGCGTGTCCCTCGGTGTCTTACTCAGCAATGTGTGTCTCTTGCGTCTCTTTCCCAGCATCACGTGTCTCTTTCCAGGGCGCGTGTCTCTTTCAGCAGCACGTCTTCCTCAACCAGCAGTCAGAGAGAGTTCTGCCTCTAGGAGGCCTCCTTTTGAGCCCGGCACGGTGGTCAAACTAGCCAATCATAGCATCAGAACTCTAAGCACCTGAGAGAGAGTGGGCACCTCCCAGAACATTGTTTTGTGCCACTCCCAACAGAAATACTCCAGGTGGACAACTTCCGCAATCAGGAGCTCCTCAGTTGCTCATAGAAAATCCCACCTTGGAGTTTACAAAAACTTATGGGTAGAAAAGCCACACTAAGTAATTTACTACACCGCAATATGACACACCTAGGATTGACTGTGTTTGTCTGTTTATGAAAGCGAAATAAATATTATAGGAAAATAAAGTCAAAGACTTCGTAATTAATAAAAGTAAATCCATGTAAAAGAGACCTCAAATGGCCAAAGTAGTATTGAAGAACAAGGCAGGAGGCCTCACACTTCTTGATTTCAGAACAGTCAGTACAGTTTCAGTAATCAAAGCAGCCTTATACTGGTTCAGTGATTGACACATAAATCAGTGGAATAGAATTGAGAAACCAGAAGTCAGCACATCCATCTGTAGGCAGCTGATTTTCAACAAGGGGCCAAAGTCCATTCATTGGAAAAGAAACAGTCATTTCAACAGATGGTGCTGGCAAAAGTGAATATCCATTTGTACAAAAATGAAACAGGATCTGTACCTCATGCCATACACGAAAGCTAAGTCAAAATGAATAAAAGACTTAAAATGTTAAAGCTAAAACTATAAAATTCTTGGAAACTAAATAAGGACAAAACCATAGGACCTAATTTTCTTTGTTGTTGTTATGTGCCTTCGAGTTGTCTCTGACTCATAGCGACCCCTCCTTGCGTTTCCGAGGCAGTATCTCTACAGAAATAGATTGCCCAATCTGCCTTCCGAGGAGTGGCTGGTGGGTTTGAACCGCCAGCCTTCTGGTTAGCAGTCAAGTGCCTTAGGCACTATGCCACCTACATTATTAATCACAATTACAAACACATGAACAACAAGTTAAATACTTATGCTCATCAGAAGATTTTACCACAAGAGTGAAAAGAGAACCTACAGACTGGGGAAAAAAATCTTTGGGAATGACTTCTCTGATAAGGGTCTAACCTCTAAAATAAATAGAAAACTTGAATAGTTCACAACAAAAGACAAACAGTCCAACTTAAAAATGGGAAAAGAACATGAACAGATACTTCACCAAAAAAAACATCAAGCAGCCAACAGACACATGAAAAGATGCTCACAACCATTGGCCATTAGAGAGATGCAAAGCAAAAGTACAATGAAATACCATATCACCTTGCAAAAGTGGCTGATTAAAACATAAATGCTGGTGAGATTGTGGAAAAATTGGAACCTTAATCCAATGCTGGTGAGATTGTAAATGGTAGAACCGCTATGGAAAATGGTATGGTGCTTCTTCAGAAAGCTAGAAATAAAAATACTTTATGATCCAGCAATTCCTTTCCTAGGTGTATACCCTAGAGATCTAATACCAATGACATGAATAGACATATGCATACCTGTGTTCATTGCAGTGTTATTTGCAATAGCAAAAAGATGGAAATAAGTGCTCATCAATTATGAATGGATAAACAGAATGTGGTACATTGATATATACAGTAGAATTCAACATAAAGAATAATAATGGATTCCCCAAACATTACAACATGGATGAATCTGGAGGACATTATGCTGAGTGAAATAATAAGTCAATCGCAAAAGGACGAATATTGTATGACCTCATGTTTATAAAAAGAAAAGAATAGGTAACCATACAGAAAACAGTGTTCTTAGGGATGGGATGGGTGAGGGAAGAGAAATCACTTTCTAGATAGTAGACACTTGTTATTTTTAGTGATGGGAAAGGCAATACCAAATGCAGGTGAAATCTGTACAGCTTGACCAACATAAATGATGACACTAAGAAATAATAATAGGGCACATTTTCGGTAAATGCTATCACATACACAATTTTGCAATATCAGCAGTATCAGCCAAAGGATATGTGTGGTTACACAGGTAGATAAGTATGCATCTGTGTATAGGAAGGTGCATGTGTATACATGTGTGCACATACAGATGTATTTGTAGACATTAGCTATATACTTGTCAGTGCTGCATACATAGAAGCAGTGCCTAGCTTACAGCAAGGTTCCATTGTAACGGCTCCATCATAAGACAGTTCTGACATAAGTTGAGTACCTCTTTTCTTTTCTTTTTTTTAATTGTTGCCTTTTATTATCAGTATCTTTAACATTGCACATGTGGGGGTGAACATCTGAGAATTATAACATCAGCAAGTTATTCATTGCAGTATAGTAGTAGTATAATAGTACACACTACTAACAATAAGATTGTGGTGATTGTGTTTTTGTGTCAACTTGGCTAGGCCTGGTTGAGTGGCTTGGCAGCTGGATGTAGTATTCTCCATGATGAGACTGGTAATCAACTCCATGGTGAAATCTACTGTGAGCAGCTGAGTAGCTGCCTTTGGGTATATGGTCTGCTTTCTGTACATAAACAGCATGTTGTTGTTGTTATGTGCCGTCAAGTCGGCCCCGACTCATAGCGACCCCTCCTTGGGTTTCAGAGGCAGTATCACTACGGAAGTAGGATTGTCCAACCTTCCTTCCGAGGAGTGGCTGGTGGGTTTGAACCGCCAGCCTTCTGGTTAGCAGTCAAGTGCTTTAGCCACATACATAAAAGCTTTGGGAATGGTCTCTAGCTTATGACATGCTTGGACCCTGCATGTAGCCATGTCATTGTTCAGCAGCCTGCCATGCTCTGCCAACCTTGGGACTTAAAATGGACTTAAATTAATGGCCTGCCATGTGGTTTGGTAACATCAGGACTATGCCTTTTTACTTGTCAACCTTGGGTTTGTCAGCCTCAGCAGCCAGCAGCTCTCTGAGTGAAAAAAATGCCTCTAGCTCCAGTGGGCGGGGAGCAGGAGGCAGAGCTGGACCCCAAGTTTGAGGGGCTTTCACTCAGCCCCTAGAGCCTGGCACTTTGAACTTGGACTGAAAGCTTCCAAACCGTGAGAGAGTAACTCCTGTTTGTTAAGGCCATCTCATTTGTGGTATATTCTTGTCAGAGCAGTACTGGGTAACCACAACAAAGAGCTACCACAAAAAAAAGATTCAAAATTCATATATATATATATATATATATGTATATGTATGTGTGTGTGTATATATATATATAAATGTATATAGTAAAGCAGGTAGAGGGACAGTTACAGATTCTTCCTAGACATAAACAGCCGCCTCACAGGATAGGTTTACTGGGTTTGAAGGCTTAGGATCATTGTCTCATGGGACAACTAGCTCAGTTGTTATAACATAGGTCATAAAGTTTATATTCTTTACCCTAGTCTGGCGAGTAGCACCTGGGGTCTTAAAAGCTTGTAAGCGGCCATCTGAAATACAACTCTTGGTCTCTACTTGTCTGGAGCAAAGGAGAAAGAAGACGACCAAAGGCTCATGGAAGAAACTATAAGACAGATGGCTCTCATGAAGTACAGCCTCATCTGTCAAAGACCTGAAGAAGTGGGTGCTGTCTGGCTACCACTAGCAGCCATTCTGACCAAGGACACAATAGATGGTCCTGGATAGAGTGGGAAAACAATGTGGAACAGAACTGAAATTCTTAAAAAAGAGGCCAGACTTTATGGACCAGTAGAGACCAGAAGAACCCTGAGACTGTCGCCCTGGGACACCTTTAAACCTGGAACTGAAACCACTCCTGGAGGTCACCTTTCAAAAGTACAAGATTGACCTTTGTTTGAATGCAGACAAGCCGAGGGACTGTAGATAGCTATCCATGGCTAGACAGTGTGGTCTGATTTCTATTCTGTTAGCACATTCATATAAAAATCACACAGCCAGGCATAAGCTGTCACTGAGGATACTCAGCAGGCCACTGTTGGAATTAAATGAGAGACAGAATCTAAACATTAACACAGTCTGAAAATGGAAATTAACCATGCTCTGTCACAAACTTTAGTATAAAATTACCACAAATAAGCGTTACTGTGTACCTATTATATTCCAGGAAGATATTGATACAGAAATGATTAGACAAAGAAGAACATTCAAAGATGAGGCAGTCTACTTCCATAAAGATTTACAGCCTTGGAAACCCTATGGACTTCTCTGTCCTACTAGGTCGCTATGAGTTAGATCAACTCGATGGCAATGGGTTTGGTTTGGTTAATGGCTAATGGCTAATGACCTTGAACATCTTTTCATGTTTTTGGTGGCCATTTGAATATCCTGTTAAGTGAGATGTGTGCTATCGTTTTAATAGAGAAAATGAGTTTTCCTTTAAAAACAGGATCTATAAATCAAGTTGTATTTATAAAGATATTTTTAGTTTAATATTTTCCATAGATTTAACTTAATCTGAACTTTTTTCCAGATATTTTCAAAATTTGGCACAGTCTTGAAGATTATCACCTTTACAAAGAATAATCAGTTTCAAGCTTTGCTTCAGTATGCTGACCCAGTGAATGCACATTATGCCAGAATGGTAATTATGATCATAGTAATTTTTCATTTTTCAGTTGTTAATTACATTCCTCAGTGATATCTGAAGGAATCCATCATGTCTTCTTCCTTACTTCAGCTTACTAGGTATTCTTTTAAAAACATTTCTGCTTCTTTCTTCATATGACGTGGTTTCAATTCTCATCATCTCTTAGATCTCTAGAGCCCATTCCTATTATATTTAAAGGCTACAGTTGAGCACAGTACTCTTTATGTAATGTGACTAATTAAGTAGGATTCTCTTTGCCCTGTGCTTTCATTTACTTGTATTAAATCAGCCAGAGGTTGCTTGAGTGCACATTTTGTAACCATATTCACTATTGATTCCTATGGAACTCTAAATTGGTAAAGACTTTTAAGTTTTAGGAAATGTGCTGCTGTCGATTCATGTTATTCTTTTTTTTTCCCGGTAGAACAGTATTTGACTTTTTTGACAGAATACAGAGGTTTATATACTGTTTGGTTATATTTGGCCCATTGTTCTAGCCTACTGAGGTCTATCTTCAACCTTAATATTGTCTTATGGACTGCTAACGAGAAGGCTGGCGGTTCAAACCCACCAGCCACTCCTTGGAAGGAAGACTGGGCTATCTACTTCTGAAGAAATACTGCCTCAGAAACGCAAGGAAGGGTCACTATGAGTCGAATCCAGTTTGACGGCAGTGAGTTTTTTTTTGGTCTCTATCTGAATTATTTCTGATTTCTTCACAAAGATAAGGACTCAGGTTTATGGAACCTGTGGACCAGGCAGTCTCTGGTCCTTGGTTAGGAGTGTCACTTTTGCATTTGCTGCACCGTCTGCCTGAATACCTTATTTTGTGCCTTTATGGTGGCATATTGGCCAGTGAATAGTATGAAAAGTCAGATTTTTGTATATTTGTTGTGTTTTATTTAATTTTACATGCTTTGATTTCTGGTATCTATTTTTATAAATTTCAGCATTTGTGAAAGTCATACTGACTACAGATTTTGCTCTTAAATTTTTATTACTGCAGAGGGAAAGGATTACTGATCTTTAATCATATGTCAGAACTGACTCCAAATTTCCCTCATCTTATTTATTATTCAATATGTTACAAAATAAAATTACCAGGTAAAAAATACTAAGTGGTAGATAAAATTTACAGAGTAAATTTAAAAAGTGCCATTTACAAAGGTGTTGTTTCTTTCAAACCCATGTTAACATACCAAAAAGATTTAGGATGAAATGAAAAATTAAGCTGTCTAAACCTTTGCTGCAGGTAAGGTAATAGTAGCTAGTATTTTATATAATGCTCAATGGTTTTCCAATGTTTTCTAGTTCTCCTCTCATTTGATTTTACCACAGGCATGTATTGGCAAGAATGGTGGTGTTCTTATTTTATAGATGAAAAAACTGAAACATAGAGCTTTTCTTTTTCTCCTTTGGAATCACGGTTAGGGACAGAGGTAAAAGTAAACCCAGGTCTGTGGTTTTTAGTCCGTTGCTCTCTGCTCTGCCTTGATGGCTGCTCTTTGCCGAAGTAGAGGCTGCTCGATGCACCAGTGTTGCTGTCTTGCGAAAACATCAGTCCCTTTCTCACCTGCTGTAGGCTCTGGATGGCCAGAATATCTACAATGCGTGCTGCACTCTGCGCATTGACTACTCCAAGCTCACCAGCCTTAATGTGAAATACAACAATGACAAAAGCAGGGACTTCACCCGCTTAGACCTCCCCACTGGCGATGGCCAGCCATCCCTTGAGCCTCCGATGGCTGCTGCTTTTGGTGAGTAGTTTGCTTTTGTTCACCAAGCGAGTTTTCTGAAGACATGCGTTTTTTTTATTAATCCATGTATGTCGGTTAGTCTTTTCTTCTTGAGTTCTCTTGGGGTTTCTAAAGGAAACCAAGAATCTTGGAACAAAAGGTACCCCTTGGTTAAATCTTAATATTAGGAGGCTTTATTAGTTAGCAAAATAAGTAGATTCTGAAAATCAGTTACAATTTATTTTCTAATATTAATGCTATTCATTCTTTATAAACCACACAACCATTGGCTTCAAGTTAATACACTTACAGATTAAAATATTGTTTTAAACATGTTGGTTTCTAGCCAAGAGACTTTTGCCATAAGTGCTCTTGAAAAAAATGTCTTTCCCTTTTAAGTAGTGACATTTTCAAAATGAAGCCTAAATTAAGTCTTTTATTCAAAGGAGAGAGTTTATTTATTTAATTTCAGAGATGGAAATCTTTATCTTAAAAAGTTAGTGTGAAGTTGCGTTTTTTTACGTTCATGGAAATGTAGCCTTCTAAATGTCTCTTTAAACACAGCTTTGAGGTGCCTCCCTCTTTTACTTAGAATTAGTTCTCAGTATATTTATAAATTTAAAAACAAAAACCCTTTGCATGAGGGAAGAAATCATGGCACAGCTGGCTGTACCTTGAGGTTCATGTGTGCTCCTTGGGTTTTCTTGCTCTCAGAAGTGTAGTTTATTATTTAGATATGGTATTAAGCTTTATTACCTTTATGATTGATTTTTTTCCTCAAATTGTACCGTAAAATATTATTATTAAAAGAGACTTTAATTAGTATTTAGTTCATCTTCATTTTATATGTGAGAAAATTAAAGAATCCCAACAGCCACATGGTTGTCCAAAATATTCTAGAAAATAGTTTGCAACTTGATTTTAAAGTAAAAGCTTCTCCCTCCCCCTAGTAATTTATAACGAAAATGGTCAAGTAAACTTTTTAGTACACATTCCTAAAATTGTTAAAATTTCTGTTTTGGTCTATTTGAGCAAATGTTTGTGTTTTATATTTGTTACCAATACTTATATGGCCTACCTGGCAGGGCCAAAGGTTTTTGCTATTGATACTTCAGTAACAAGTAATAGAAATTAGGCTGTCATTCAGATTTGCCAAAACTTGGCTATAAAAGCAGAACTGCACTTATTGCAGTAATTGAATCTATATTTTTGATGTCTGCACTGCAAGAAAAGGATACTTTAAAAAGTGGTTAAAAATTTTGGTATGTAAATATAAAATACAGTGTTCATATCCTTTTTCATTGTGTTGTGTTATATATAAGTCTTTAGTCATTGCAAAATGATGTGTGCATACTAAGATAAGTGATTAACAGAGAGCAATACTTCTTATGTTATTTTTGTGAAAGTTTATCTACTCTGCTTCTTACTAGTATTTGACACAGTTCACTAGCCCCTCTCTTTTCCCAGCTATGGCTTCTGAAACACCACACTCCTGACTTTCTTTCTACCTTACTGGTTGCTCAGTGTCCTTTCAGTGTGGTTTAAAGGTCTGTTTAAAGGTAGTTCTTATAAAGTTGTCAGAACTGAGTCATAAGCAGTCTGTCCCTGAGTTTAGTAATATATATTGTACCTGTAGAAAAGCGTATAAAACCTGTAAATATATTTTGAAACACCCAAGTAACTATCCCCTGTGTTAAGAAATACTCTGTACAGTACTGAAGAAGCACCGGCGTGCCCCTCCTTACTGGTTGCATTCCTGCTCTGCCTGTCCCAAGGTAACCACAGCCCCAAATTTTATGATAATCATTTTTTTTTCTTTGTTTTCTTTTTGTTTTTTACTATGTACTGTGCAGCCATAAATGCTACTTTTTACAGTTATTCACATCTCTTTAGGATTTTATGTGAATAGAATCATGTGTGTTCTTCCTTTATTGCATTAGGTTTTTGTGATTCATCCATATTCTTACAAATGACTGTTGTTCTTATTACATTTCCCTGATTACTAATGAGTTGTACATACTTATGTTTATTAGCCATCCTGCCTTAAGGATTCTCTGTTCAGATCTTTTGACTTTGTGTTTGGATTCTTGTTTTATCTTGTTGATTTGTAGGAATTCTTTATGTATTCCATATAATAGCCTTTTTTGGTTGTGTGTGTTAGAAATAATTTTTCTCAATTTGTGACTTAATGCTTTATTCCCTACTTGCTATTTTAATCTAGTAAAGTTTATTTGTCATTTCCCTTATATTTATGCTTTTTTTTTGTGGGGGTGAAATCTTACTAAAAAAAAATTCTCTGCCATCCTGAGATCATAAAGATACCTACTTATATTCTAGTTTTATAGTATTTTAATAACTTTATTTTATTATTTATTGTGATTTGGGTGAAGATTTACAGAGCAAATTCACTTTCCATACAGCAGTTCACATATACCTTGTCTCATGTCATTACCACAGTTTACCACAATGCAACAGCTCCCCTCCCACTTCCTCCCCATAGTTACCTCTTCCCAGTGACCATCCCTCCATACTCTCCTGCGCCCTGAGCTGTCTCCCTGTGCATAAGCAGCCCTTCCTTCTCCCATGATTGTTCTTTCCAGGACGTGTGTCTACTTGAGGTAAA